AAGGACATTAGATAAAAATGAAGGAAATCTGAAAAATATTGGACTTCAGTTAATTTGTCAATATTATATCAATAAAAATAATATATATTCATTAATTCTAACAGTCATACTATGCTAATGTAAAGTTTAAGGTAAAACTGTGTGTGTGGTACATGGGAACTCTGTAGTATCTTCCAAACTCTATAGTACCTGCAAATCCAAAACTTCTAAAATAAGAAGATTATTTCTTAAAAAAGAAAGAATACGAATACTCTTTCTATACCAACTAAAAAAAGAGGAAAGCAAGAATGATAATAAAAATGATGAGCAGTTGAAGATAATACTGTACATCCTTATCAAAATTAATGATATTATGCAGTGGGAGTTTTGCAATATTGGCAGTTATCTGAGGGAAGTCAGACTTTTCAGCAGAAATCAGTAAACTCTAATAGTGTACTTAGTTTATGAATAGTAACTCAGCTGCTAGGTTAGTCTCAAGTACTTCTCAGATGTATTTTAAAATTATATTGTGTTCAGAAACATTTAATATTTTGGATTAATTTATGCAATAAAAATTATCTGTGCCTGCCACTGGGCTGCAAACCATACCTTACTCTCTGCTACTTGTGTTTTGCAGTTGTTTACTCCTCTTTGAAATAAAAATATATTTCACTTGATTTTCAGGGCACCAAATACATCATACCTTTATCAGTTACCCATTCTTCCTTCCATTCAGCCACAAAACCCCACAAACATGAAAGCAAAACATGAAGCTTGAAGATTTTTGATTTTTCTACTCATACTTATTTTAGTTTAAATTAACCCAATTAATTCATAAATAAAAAATTAAGAATAAAGTCAAAGGCTATTTTGTAATTCAAGATTAATTTTATATTAAAATAGGCTCTAAGTATTTTTAACAAATATTAGAACAGGAAATTTTATGTAACAATATAAACTGTTGAAGTAGAATTGTGGTATTTTTGAATATGGATGATTTTTACCCTGATGATGTTAAAATTAACGATTGTAAAATAAGTAGATATTAAAGTTAAAAATCATTTTGGAAGATGATTTTTTAAATTCCTTAGACTAGAAAATATTCTGAATGAAACACTTTTATCACTTTAAATACTAGTTTTCACGACTCATCTTGGTAAGGGAAGTAAGTACTTCAATTCTTTTGAAAGGTTCCATATTATAATTAACATACAGTAGGATCATATCAGTTAGAAATTGTTGTGTAATCAGCTGTCTCTCAAAATTTAGTGATTTAAAACAACCACCACTAGTTATTTTTCATGTGTCAATGAGTAGACTCAGTGATTCTTTGGTGAACCAAACTTTTCTGGAGAAGGCTTAGCTGATCTCATCACCCACAGACCCATGGGCTGAGTTACGGTTCTGTGATCTGCTGATTGGTTAATGGGGGGCTGGCATGGACTGGTGGGACAACTTATTTGTGTTCCATTTGGTCTCTCCTCTTCTGGCAGAGTAGCCCAACTGGACTTATTCTCATGGAGATGGTGAAGTTGAGAGAGTGAGAGTAAAAGAGAGAAACTATGCAAGGTGGAGTTGAGAGAGAGTGAGAGTGAGAGAGAAACTATGCAAGATCACTTGAGGCCTAGTCTTGGAAGGCATATTGAGGCATATTGTTATTTTTTGCCACGTTATCTCTGCTTCGTTTTTTTTTTTTTTTTGAGTGGAGTCTCACTCATTCTGTCGCCTCCGCCTCCCGAGTTCAAGAGATTCTCTTGCCTCAGCCTCCTGAGTAGCTGGGATTACAGGCACATGCCACCACACCCAGCTAATTTTTGTATTTTTAGTAGAGACAGGGTTTCGCCATGTTGTGCAGGCTGGTCTCGAGCTTCTGGCCTCAGGCAATCCACCTGCCTGGGCCTCCAAAAAGTGCTGGGATTATAGGTGTGAGCCACAGCGTCCATCCTTCACATTGGTTTGGTTAAAACAAGTAAAGGCCAGCTGATATTCAAGGAGTCGAGAAATAAACTCTCAATGGGAAGAATTACAATATCACATTGTGAAGAGCATGGATACAGGGAGGAGTGGAGAATTGGGGCCATCTTGCAGACATTTGGCAAAGTGCAATAGCAGTAGAGGAATCTGCTACCTCATTCAGATAGATTCTTTTCTGTTCATGTAAAACCAAAGAGGTGAATTAACTATTGCTTTAGTTAGTCATCTTTTTTTTTGCATTTATTGTAATGATATCAATTATGGTAATTTAAGTAGTACTTTTGTTCTAAAAGGGTAAGTGTGAATTTTATAGAGAAACCCTTTTAATTTGAATTGAGTTGAAAGTTAAAGTAGAACTTAAAAATTCCGGAGTTATTTGGTAGCAAGAATATTTTCATTATTAATCTCTAGTCATACTTGGATTTGTCATCTTTGACTATTACTCTCTCAGTTTTGCATCTTTTATTTATTTAGTTTACCTAGATTGTAAATCACTATAATCTCTTCATTGCATCAATTTGCAGGGCATATCATTTAGATTTTTTTGTTTTTGGTGTGGAAAATATGTGCAGATATTGCACATTAATAATAAAGGTGCATTAAGTACCTTTAGTATAATACTTGTTACAGAATATACCAAATTATTCATTTAGAGTGGGGCTTTTTAAAATAAACCTTTTTATTGAAATATACCCATAATGCATGTTTCAGGAATTTAGAGCTCTTTGAGTTTTTACAGATTGTAACTGTATAACCAAATCCAGATTGAGAAACCAGCATCCAAATTGAGACACAAAACATTACCAGCATCCCATAAGCTCCCCTTATAGTCTCTTTCTGTCACTGCATCCTCCAAGTAACCCGTATCTTTACTCCAGACTCTGTACATTAGTTTTTCATGCTTTTGTTCTTTAAACATTTACATACAATATGTACTTTGTTTTTTTCATAGCTCACAGATAAGTGAGAAACAATAATCACATTTAAATACAAGCATTTAATTTGATCACTAATCCTTTTTAAATCCTACTAAAAATGTCAAAATTTGGTACTGGAATGATAGCATCAACCATATGTTACCGACAACATTTTAATTCAACATAGGATATAAAGAGCTGTGACTTCCTCCTCTTTTCATAAATAAACAATGAATATAGTTTCTTGAAGAAAAAAAGGGACATTAGTGTCTGTAATTTTCAAAGTCAGACTTCAAATAAAAAATACTCTCCATGAAAATGAGGTCACCTATTTTATTTTCATGCCTTTAGTACTGTATCACCTCACCATTGAAGATTGTCATTGAAGTTTCTTTTAAAAATAGAAAAGGCGACTGGCAGCATCTTGGATAATGTGTTTTGGCATCAGGGTTTCCTTGAGGTTTTTAAGTCTGTTGTACCAAGACTTAGTAAAGAAAGAAAATGATCTTTGTGTGTGAGATAGAGTTAATAAAATTGTATTTTTTTGGCACTTAACACAAGACTGAGTTATTTCACTATACTTTGTCAGGTAATCTCTGTGTTCTCCTTTGCACTTCAGAGCAGACACATTCCTTTTTTTTTCTGTACTGTTTTCTCTTCTCTTTTCTCCCTAAAACTCACAGTAATCTCATATTAACTCTTTTTTAAAAAAAAAAAAAAAAAAAAAACGTAGTTTCACTTTTGTTGCCTAGGCTGGAGTGCAGTGGTGTGATCTCAACTAATTGCAACCTCCACCTCCTGGGTTCAAGTGATTCTCCTGCCTCAGCCTTCCAAGAAGCTGAGATTATACGCACCCACCTCTATGCCTCACTCATTTTTTGTATTTTTAGTAGAGATGGGGTTTCATCATGTTGGCCAGGCTGGTCTCGAACTCCTGACATCAGGTGATACGTGTGCCTTGGCCTCCCAAAGTGCTGGAACTACAGGCGTGAGGCACTGCACCTGGCCTCATATCAACTCTTAATGCCTTCGGTACTTTCTTTCTTTCTTTTGAAATTTTCTTTTTCTTTTGACCTACTAGTGTATTTTCATAGACATTATACTTTTTGGTTTGATTCCATTCAGGTTTTTTTTTTTTTTTTTTTTTTTTTTTTTTTTTTTTTTTTTTTTTTTTTTTTTTTGCTTATTTCTTTGATGGTATCTTTTTATTTCCATTAATTCTAGGCATTACCCAAAGTTTTGTTTTAGGTTACTGTCCCTTTTCCTCTCAGTCATTCTTCATAAATATCAGATGTATGTTTATCTGCTTGAATTCTTATTTAAAATATCTAAACTTGACATCTTCCTTTTCCTATTTCTGACATGTATTTTTACATATTTACTTAGATATGCCTCCATCTTTTAAACATTTCATAAAGCACTTCTGCTTTCCTGTTCTTCCTACTCATTTCTTTGCCACCAGTGGCAGCATCACTTATCTTCATGAACTTGTCTTTATCTGTAAATCATTATTGACTGAATATTTTATTTTTTACTGTTAATAACGTTATATCACCAGAGGATTACTGTTATTTTCAATGAGTTCTGCTTTGTTCATATATAATATGGTCATATCTTGATGATTTCCCTGCATAAATAAACATATTGATAGCTGCTGTTTCTGAGATATAATCACTAGAATTGAGAGTGAGAAAGACATCATTTTTCCCTCTTTTACATCCTAGTAAATACTACGTAAATTTTCCCAAGAGCTTCATGTTATTGGGAATGTCCCCTTAGGTGCCTCAAAGGAAATTAAAACAAACATCTCCCTTCTTTTTGTAACATGTTATTTTAAAATACTTCTCTTTTGATACAAATATCTTTGCTTCTGTGTTTTCTGTATCAATTTTATATGTGAATGATACATTAGAAGTGTATTTAACCATATTTTAGTTTAAATCTTTCGTTATTAAAATCTTTGCATTATTTTGTCTAACTCTGACTAAATAAACATTTTACTTGAGTAAGGTAATTTTTTTTTCAGTTTTATTATTATATACTTTATTGGTGTTGAAGCTAAAAATTGTTTGAACTTGATTTTTTGCTCACACTTTCATTGGAGAGCGATTTTCCTTCTAAGGAATTAAAGTGATGTAACTTTTTCCCTCAGATTCTCCTGAGAATGACATCCCTATGGACATTACCACGGCAGAACCACAGGTTTCCGAGGCGGTATATGACTGTGTTATTTGTGGACAAAGCGGCCCCTCCTCTGAGGACCGACCTACTGGATTAGTTGTACTGTTACAAGCATCTTCAGGTAAAATCAAAGTAATTTTTTGATGGGAACATTTTAGAGCCAAAGTGTATATAATGGATTAATAAATATATTAAATGAAAATTATCTTTGTTTACATATAACTAGGCAAGGGTCAATTTAGATCATTGACAGCAAGGATCAGTTTAGATCTAAATGGCAAAGATTCTTTATCTGGTTATATCTTAGTTTCCTGGTCATGAGTGTTAGAAGAAACTCTTAAGAGAGAGATCTTGCTATATGGTTACACAGTTTTTTCTTTAAGATGTGATGGTATATTAGCAATGCTATGATGGTATATTAGCAATGCTAGGTGGCCAATAACTGCATTCAGTTTTCTTGGTAATTATAATTGTTCTGGCCTGATGCGATGGCTCATGCCTGTAATCCCAGCACTTTGGGAGGCTAAGGAGGGCAGATCACCTGAGGTCAGGAGTTCGAGACCAGCCTGGCCAACATGGTAAAACCCCATCTCTACTAAAAATACAAAAATTAGCCTGGTGTGGTGGTAGGCGCCTGTAGTCCCAGCTACTCAAAAAAAAAAAAAAAAGAAAAAAGTTCTAAAATCTGGAAAATCCCTAGGCCCATAAATATTGTCAGTTTTTAATTACACTAGGCATATTTAGACAGCTCTGCCTTTATTTCTTCAAACAGTCTCTGAATTGGTATGTTTACCAGTCTATATTTTTAAACTGTTTTAAAAGTTTAAAGGATTTGTCTGAATTCTGTCCATTGTCTTACAAACTGAAGTATTTTTGAGGGTAGTGATAATTCTTACACAATCTAGTTGCAATGAATGTAATCCTTTTCCAACAGGAGTATGTGTAAAATAAAGAGAAAGTAAAACTCTTACATATTTCTCTAGAGAATTTTTTTTCCAGAGTGTTAACTCTGTGAATTAGTATGGTAAAGTGGAAAGAGTTACGTATTAGAAATATCCCTGCATTCAAATATGATATTGCTTTACTTACTCTGGACAAATTTGATGTTTTCTTTTATGTAGAGAGTTAATATTGACATTCTAGGATTTTTGTGTTGGTTAAGTAATGTAATATAAGCAAAAATAATCTAATGTGGTGCCTAGTAAATTAGTTTCTTTTGTTACTCTTCTTGCCCAAAAGGAATTGATCTGGGAAACCCTGATTTAGTGGGACATTGAAGGAGAGTTGTCAAAATCAGAAATGCTTACTTACAAAATCAGAAAATGAAATGTGTGAAAGTATTAATTACTTTTACAGCTACTTTTCCTTTCTACTGCTCTTAGGAAAACAGTTTATTAGATTATTGTCACTTGACTTTTAACTTTGTGACCAAATACTATATATTTATCAACTTAATTTGTTTTGTTCGTTAATTTATTTCATAGATATTTATTGAGCACCTAGGTGCCAGGCACGGTTCCAGTAAGAAACGAAACAAAATCCCTGCTCCAGTGAAACTTGTGTTCTTGTTTTAAGCTTTTGTTTGTTCATTATTTTATATTTTTAAGTTTATTTGCTGTTATTTTTTAAAATCCCTTTTAAACAATTTTATACACTAGCTAGATCAGCAAATATTAGACAATTCTACGGTATTGTAGGTGCCTTATCCCTTAGAGATAGAAGGAAAAGAATAAGAAACTAACATTGCCAGGATGCAGTGGTTCATGCCTGTAATTCTAGCACTTTGGGAAGCCAAGGCGGGAGGATTGCCTGAGTTTAGGAGTTCAGGCTGGGCAACACAGTAAGACCCTGTCTCTACAAAAAATAAAATTAGACAGGTGTGGTGACGTGCCCGTGGTCCCAGCTACTCAGGAGACCAAGGTGGGAGGATTGCCTGAGCTCAGGAGATTGAGGCTGCAGTGAGCTGAGATTGCACCACTGCATTCTAGCCTGGGTGATAGAGTGAAACCCTGTGTTAAAAAAAATAAAAAAAGAAAAGGTGACATTAAAGAGTATTAAATCTCAGAATGATTTTAGTATAATAGGTGAATTCTCTAGCTGTTTCCTTCTTTACCATCTTAGCCTTATCCTTCCATTGATACTTTCCCCCTTTTACGCCTCTTTTCTTTGGGCTTCTTTATTTTGATTCATTTCTAATCTTTTCTTTTTAGATTTGATTATGGAAAATTTTAACAATATACTAAAGAAATGAGCAAAGTGAACCCCTATGTTCCCATCTATCTTCAACAGTGATTAATTTCTGGCTAATCTTATTTCATTTGTTTCCTCCTTATTAGAATTATTTTGAAGCAGATTGCAGACATATAATTTCATCTGTAAAAATGTCAGTGTTTCTGTTATAAAGAAAGGTCATATTTTTTCAACATAATCACCGTCACTCCTAAATTATTCAATATCATCAAACATCCAGTCAGTGTTTAAAATTCCCCCATTGTCTCTATTTATTTATTTATTTTGCTTTATTTATTTATTTATAGTTGTAGTATACCCTCGTGGTCTTTTAATTAATAGATTCATTTTCCCTCTATCTTTACCCCCTTCTCCCATTGCTTTACTTTTTTAAAGAAATTGGATCATTGAAAACCAGTTTTGATTTTTTCTGAATGTCTCTGTGATGTTTAACATATTCCTTTGTTCTCTGTTTTCTCTCTGTGATATTAATAGCAAATGATGATTGCCACCTAAATCCATCAGTTTATCAGAGATTGCAAATATCTTTCATGTTTTTTTTTGTTGTTGTTATTAGCTGACATATACTTCAATAAAAGAAATTTCACTTCATCACCTTTTTTTTTTTTTTTTTTTTTTTTTTTTTTTTTTTTTTTTTTGTTATTCTGAGAACAGATTGCATAGGAAAGTCAGGATAAACACAGTATTCTTTCCCTTTATTTACAGGTGCTCAAAATGTTGAGATAGTGGGGTTTTAAAAATCATTTTCTAAAGATAATTAATTAGTACTTTTAGGTATCATTAATGAGCTCTGTAATCATTATGAACTCTATTCATAACTCTACTCTCTTGTTGATGCTCGGGTTCTTCCATCTTTGTTCACTGAGAGCATATTCACATTGTCTTCTGAGTTCTTTTGACACAAGCCTAGAATAGTAAGTAGCCTTGAGTCTTTCTACATTTTTTGGTGTGGCAAGTTACAGTAAATTTATACATTTCCTTCCCTGAAATCAGTCATCTTTCAAAGAAGCATTAATTCCTTTTTAGTGGGAAATGGTATTTAGAGACAAAAATCTGGAGGCTAGGTGTGCTTATTGTTCTAGATCTTCTCAGTGTTCACTGATTCTTTATTGGCCTGTTCTTCAAATCATGTATTAAAGAAAAGTCCCATACTTTTATCTCTTAATTTTTCTATTTGATTTGTGCTAAATTACAGTCTTTTTATTAGGAACGCTTCAAAACACTGCTCAAATTAAGGGCCTTTAAAGCACATTTATCTACATAGAAGGTTTTCATTTATGTCCCATCTCACTACTGCTCAAAATGCCTGTTGTAAACATTACTAATTTGGGTATCTTCAGTTCTCCATAGGAGAATAATATAATACTATATAGTCTTTTCATTTTACTAATCCCTACAATCTTTGCAAAGCTTCAGAAAGTCCAAAGTTAAAGTTTTCATAGCACTTCAAAAAACATATGTAATAAAAAGAAAGTAAATCTGGAAAGAACTACATATCTAGATTTGTAAACCAAATAATAATGTTCTTGTTTGTGGAAGAATGTAGGCACTGAGATAAAAACATGAAGAGAAGTGGGATGGAGATGTAATGGAGCAGTTTTTGTATATTTCTGAAATGAAGTAGGTATGAATTTAAATTTGATTGTTACAAAGTGAAGTATTCTAATCCCCAGGGTAAACACTATAAAAAAAAGTTAAACACACACACACACACACACACACACACACACACAAGTAAAGAGAAGAGAATCAACATGTTATACCAGAAAATTCAATTAATTACAAAAGAAGGCAGTAATAGATCAGTTAAAGAACAAATAGAAAACAAATAGCAAAATAGAAGAGTTAAATTTTTTAGTAATTACTTGAAATATAAATGCATTAAACTGTGCAGGTGTAGAAGGCAGAGGTTGACAGAATGAATTTTAAAAAATGTGATTCTGCAAGAGATTCACTTTAGATCCAGAGACACAAATAAGTTGAAAGGGAAAGGATGGGAAGAGATTCCATGCAAATAGTAACCAAAAGAGAGATGGAGTGGTTGTACTATGAGACAAAATAAATTGTAAGTTAAGAATTGTACAAGAGACAAAGAAGGAGATTATATATTGATAAACAGGCCAATCCATCACGAAGATATTATAAACATATATGATGCAAACAACAGAGCTTCCAGATGTGTAAAGCAAAAATAGACAGAATTGAAGGGGGAAATAGATACTTCTAAAATAATAATTTGAGACTTTGATTGATAGGACAACTAGACAGAAGACCAGAAAGGAAACTGAATACTTGAGCAACACTGTAAAACAACTAGACCTAACAGACTTACATAGAACACTCCACCCAATAACAGTGGAATATATATTTTTCTCAATGGCATATGGAACATTATCCTAGGTAGACCATATGTTAGGCCACAAAACAAACCTCAGTAAAATTTTAAAAGATTGAAATTATTCAAAAAAATCTTCTGTGGCCATAGTGAAATGAAACTAGCTAAGAATAACAGAAGGAAACCTGGGAAATTCACAAGTATGTAGAAATTAAACAACACACTCTTGCCAAACAACCAGTGGGCCAAAGGAGAAATTATAAATGAAATTAGAAAATACTTTGAGGTGAAGGAAAATGAAAATACAACATACCGAAACCTTTAGGATGCAGTGAAAATGGGGAAATTTACGGCTGTAAATGCATACATTAAAAAAGATTCAAATAACTAAAATCAGAAATGATTGTTGCCTTTACTACAGACCTCATGGAAACAAAAAGTATTATAGGAGAATGTTATGATCAATTTATGCCAAAAAATTAGATGACCTGGATTAAATGAATGACTTCCTAGAAATATACAAACTACCAAATAGATCCAAGAAGTAATAAAACATTTGAACATATTTATAACAAATAAAAAGATTGACTTAGTAATTTTTTGAAAATCTGACAATGAAAAGCACAGGACCAGATGGCTTCACTGGTGAATTCTATCAAATGTTAAAATCGAGAGAGTTGTTAGGAAAGCCCCACACTCCGAAATCTGATTATGAGTCCTTTATTGCTGGTGACTGAGAGTCAGCTCACGCTCAAAATCTCTTGGCCCCAAGGAAGGGGATTCATTCCTTTTTATATCTTGCTTAAGACAGGGGAGGGGGAGCTAGCTGAAGTGGAATTTTACAGAAGCAGAACAAGCAAGTTAGGGTTGGAGGCTGGTAACCAGGAGGCAGGAGGCTCCCATGATTATTGATTAACTAAGGAGGGTATACACAAGTGGTTCCCATGATTGCTGATTACCAAGGAGGGGCATTTGGTACTTTCCATACAATCAGTCAAGAGGATATTCACAATAGCAAGTGGGCTTCTCAAGCAAGATATGGTTACAACGGTTATATGTTTCTGTAGCTCTAAGTACAACATGATCCAGCACAGGAGCATGACCCAATATACACTCAAAGGAGAAATGGTGGGAGGGGTGAGGCGGAGGTTAAAATGGAGTCTGTCTGACTCAGCAAAATGGAGTCTGTCTGGCTAACACAGGGTAGGTTAGCACACAGTCATTTAAAGAATTAACACCAGTGCTTCTCAAATTTGTCCAAAAAATAAAGAAGAGTGAACACTTCCTATAAAGCTAGCATTCTATGAGGCTAGCTTTGATACCAAAGCCAGATAAAGATAACACAGGAGAACAGTAGACCAATGTTCCTTATGAATATACATGCAAAAATTCTCAACAAAATTCTAGCAAACTGAATGCAGCAGCATATTAAGAGGATTCTGCATCGTGGTAATTATATTTTAGCTGGTGGCATCTACCAGCTTTTGTCTCTTATTTCTGTTGCTGTTATAAATCCCTCCAAAACCTTGGGCCCACAGGTTTAATACCTAATATTATTCCTTTTTCTAAGAGCAGCTCTTCTGATGCACATATCATGATATTTTGTCTGTAAATACTTTAGAATATATCTCCTAAGAACAAGGATATTCTTTTTAAAAATTTTCTTTTTTTGTTTTTTGGTTTTTTTGAGACAGAGTCTCTCTCTGTTGCTCAGGCTGGAGTGCAATGGCACAATCTCAGCTCACTGCAACCCCCACCTCCTGAGTTCAAGTGATTCTCATGCCTCAGCCTCTCAAGTAGCTGGGATTACAGGTGTGCACCACCACATGCAGCTAATTTTTGTATTTTTAGTAGAGATGGGGTTTTGTCATGTTGGCCAGGCTGGTCTTGAACTCCTGGCTTCAAGTGATCCACCTACCTTGGTCTCCCAAAGTGCTGGGTTTACTGGCGTGAGGCACCACACCCAGCCCAAGAATATTCTTTTACATAACAGTGGTACCGTTATCATTCCTAAGAAATGTAACATTAGTAACATCAAATATTGTTTATATTCAGATTCTCTCTGTTGTCCCTGCAATATTTTTTGTGTTTCTTATTTACTTGATAAATAAAAATTGTATATATTTATGGGGTATGTAATTGTGATATTATATTTTGATATGTATACATTGTGGAATGATTAAGTCAAGCTAATTAACATATACACCACTTTACCATTAGTCAAGTTGATTAGCATACACACATATACACTTATATTATTTTTTTGTGGTGAGAGTGAGTAATATTTTTATAGCAGATATTTCTTGATCCACGATTGAATAAAAGATCATGCATTGCTTTTCATTGTCATTTCTTGTTAGTCTCCTGTAATTTAGAATGGTTTCGCTAGTCCCTTTTTTAAAGTTTCAGAGTCCAGATTAGTTATTCCATAGAATATCTCCGAGTCTGGATTTGTGTGATTATTTCCTTGTTATTAGATTGAAGTTAAACATTTTTGGCAAGGGTATTATACAGGTGATGTTCCTTCCCACAGCATCACATCAGGAGGTTCACTGTGCCAGCGTGTCCTGTTATTGTTGATGCCAACCAAGTTTGATCACTTGGGTAAGCTAGGAGGTAATCTGCAGGATGATACATTAAGACTCTATTCACCTGTATACTCTTTTATTGGATTTTCCTTGCCCAGGTCAATGAATGTATTGTCTTATCTATTACTGTTACTATTCTTTTTAATACTCAACTTTTCTCAGATTTTACCAGTCAGAACTCCAGGTCTTTATAAATCTGCCTCCTCAATGTTTGAACACTTCTTTGCTCTTTTTATCACACATCCTTACGGGCTCACCTTGTACTCTTCCCCAACCCTGGACTCAGTGCTTTCTCCAGGGATCTCCTCTTCCTTTTAATGAGAAATAGTGTATTTAGAAAAAGCTTGTGAATACTGGAGAGTTACAGATTCTAGGCTTTTTCAGTGGACAGATTTAGGAAGCCATCCATCCATCATGAGTTTATCATACCGTTTCTTTTCTTTCTTTTCCTTTTACTTTTTTTTTATTATTATACTTTAAGTTCTCAGATATATGTGCAGATCATGCAGATTTGCTACATAGTTATACACATACCATGGTGGTTTGCTCCATCCATACCCTCATTATCTACATTAGGTGTTTCTCCTAATGTTATCCCTCCCCAATTCCCCTACCCCCTGCTATCCTTCCCCTGTTCCCCTGACCACCTGACAGGCCCTGGTATGTGGTGTTCCCCTCCCTGTGTCCATGTGTTCTCATTGTTTAACACCCACTTATGAGTGAGAACATGCAGTGTTTGGTTTTCTGTTCTTGTGTCAGTTTGCTCAGAATGATGGTTTCTAGCTTTGTCCATGTCACTGCAAAGGACATGAACTCATCCTTTTATGTGGCTGCATAGTATTCTATGGTGTATATGTGCCACATTTTTCTTATCTGGTCTATCATTGATGGGCACTTGGGTTGGTTCCAAGTCTTTGCTATTGCAAACAGTGCTGCAGTAAACATACGTGGGCATGTCTCTTTATAATGGAATGTTTTATAATCCTTTGGGTATATACCCAGTAATGGGATTGCTGGGTCCAATGGTATTTCTGTTTCTAGGTCACTGAGGAATCACCACACTGTCTTCCACAATGGTTGAAGTAATTTAATTTACACTCAAACCAACAATGTAAAAGCATTCCTATTTCTCCACGTCCTCTCCAGCATCTGTTGTCTCCTGCTTTTTTAATGGTCACCATTCTAACTGGTGTGAGATGGTATCTCAATTTGGTTTTGATTTGCATTTCTCTAATGACCAGTGATGATGAGCTTTTTTCATGTGTTTGTTGGCTGCATAAATGTCTTCTTTTGAGAAGTGTCTGGTCATATCCTTTGCCTATTTTTTGATGGGGATTTTTTTTTTTTGTATGTTGTTTAAGTTCTTTGTAGATCCTGGTTATTAGCCCTTCGTCAGATGGGTAGATTACAAATTTTTTTTCCCATTCTGTTGGTTGCTGGTTCGCTCTAATAGTTTATTTTGCTGTGCAGAAGCTCTTAAGATTAATTAGATCCCATTTGTCTGTTTTGGGTTTTGTTGCCATTGCTTTTGGTGTTTTAGTCATAAAGTCCTTGCCTATGCCTATGTCCTGAATGGTATTGCTATGTTTTCTTCTAGGGTTTTAATGGTGTTAGGTCTTATGTTTAAATCTTTAGTCCATCTGGAGTTAATTTTTGTATAAGGTGTAAGGAAGGGATGCAGCTTTCTGCACATAGCCAGTTTTTCTAACACCATTTATTAAATAGGGAATCCTTTCCCCATTGCTTGTTTTTGTCAGGTTTGTCAAAGATCAGATGGTTGTAGATGTGTGGCATTGCTTCCAAGGCCTCTGTTCTGTTCCATTGGTCTATATCTCTGTTTTGGTACCAGTACCATGCTGTTTTGATTACTGTAGCTTTGTTGTATAGTTTGAAGTCAGGTAACGTGGTGCCTCCAGCTTTGTTTCTTTTACTTATGATTGTCTTGGCTATGTTCACTCTCTTTTGGTTCCATATGAAGTTTAAGGTGGTGTTTTCCAATTCTGTGAAGAAAGTCAGTGGTAGTGTGGTGGGGATAGCACTGAATCTATACATTGCTTCGGGCAGTATGGCCATTTTGATGATGGCCATACTTCTTTGAGCAGTGGTTTGTAGTTCTTCTTGAAGAGGCCCTTCACATCCCTTGTTAGTTGTATTCCTAGGTATTTTATTCTCTTTGTAGCAGTTGTGAATGGGAGTTCACTCATGATTTGGCTCTCTGTTTGTCTGTCTGTTATTGGTGTATAGGAATGCTTGTGATTTCTGCACATTGATTTTGTATCCTGAGACTTCTGAAGTGTTCAGTGTTATTTTTTAAAGTAAATATTGGCATACTTGAAGCTTTATTTAGCCTGTAAAAGAAAACTAGAATACCACTTTCTTTGAGGGAGTCTTTAAAAATATTTTAATAGTGAAAAAGTTCGAGTAGCTTGTGGTAAATAACTCAGCTTTTCTTGGAGTTAGAGGTCTATGGCATTGTTTTTTTGATTAATGAGCTTTTATTTGTTGTTAATGTAGTTTTAGGGCAGTGCCGTGATAATGTTGAGCCAAAAAAATTGCCGATCACTGAAGAGGAGCAGATTTACCCTTGGGATACATGTGCAGCTGTCCATGACGTGAGGCTTTCATTATTACAGCGTTATTTTAAGGATGTAAGTACTCTTTATAAAATAATACTTTTGTCTACTGAGTTGATGGTTATTTCGCTCCATAATTTTATATGTTATCCTTCTACCAAAATAGCATTCTGATGTTAAATTTGAAAGTTTATTAGAGAAAAATTAATATGTGGATAGAAAGAAATAGAAACCTGTTAATAAACATTTCAGGTAATAAATGCGATACCTTTGTTTTAAATGTTGTTTATTATGTGATATACACATTCTATTAAGTGGAATGATGAGTACAGCAGGTCCTTGAATAACAGTGTTTCGTTCAACGTTATTTTGTTACAATGTTGATGAGACAAAAATCAGTTTCCCACAGGGGCCACTGTCAATATGGAGTTTGTGGGTTCTCCCCATGTCTGTGTGGGTTTTGTCTGGTTATTCCAGTTCCTCCTACTTTCTGAAGATATGCTGCACATTAGGTTAACTCACATGTCTAAATTGTTCTGGTCTGAGTGAGTATGGGTGTGGGTATGAGTGCATCCTGTCATGGGATCATGTTCTGCCCAGGGTCGATTCCTGCTTTATGCTCTGAGATGCAGGAATTGGCTCCAGCCACCTATGACTGTGAACTGGAATAAGTAGGTTGGAAAATGAATGAAATAATAGAAACATATTATTGGAACATAAAAATTTATAAAGGATATGATAATCATACAGCTGCATAATAGTGTGGCATGAAAGGGCTCGGTGAGCCTGCATACTTGTTATTGTTTCTTTTTTTTTAATTGCATGGTAATAAGAAGTGCTCCTTAATGATTTTCACTTTGCAAACATTTATTCCTTAATTTAACCTATCACCACTACTACTGACAGCACTCATTGATTTGTCAAAAGTTGGGTAGATCATTATTTTACTTGTTTTTATTAACTTTTCTAAATGTATACACACTCCACATTTATTTCAGTGTTTTATGTTAAAAATGTTTTGGGTCTTTAGAAGTTTTGATGATATTTTTGTAATAAGAAATATACTATAGGAATGTAACTCTTTTTTATATCAATTAGCCTATGGTTAAATTAGTTTTGTTCCACATCATTTGCTTAAAGTCACATTTTCCAAGAACCTATTGATAAGGTTAAGTGAGGACTTAATGTATAACTTTATAGAAACTTTTACTATGGTAGGAATATTGTACAAAGATTTTTGCCCCCCTTTTACTTTCATTTAAAGATATATGATAAAATTTCATTATGATACTTTTTAAATGTAAAATAAGGATGGATTTGATTCATATCTGCTCTGACTTCTTATAAACTTTGTAGAGATTTTTCATTATTTTGCATTTAGGAGCTCTGGCACTCATAAGTATCTCAAGATAAACTTTAGTACCAGCAGCAATGTTAATGTCTTTTTAAAATTTCTGTATTCATTCCTTTTGATGTTTCCTGAGTGGATTATCAAATGGGGTTTCCTTTCTCCTGTTTTTTAAATCTGCTGTGTCTTGAATTAAATAATATCAGCTTAAAATATAAAATAAAACATTATTTTTAGTTAACTATATGAGATGATTAACTTGATTGATTTCCAAATAGAACTTTTTTCTTGCCCATAAATTCATTGATTTAAGTGCAAGAAGTAAGTGGAAGACAGAATACATAATCAGAATAAATAAGAACTAAGCTAGTGATAATAAGAGCCAGAGTAGAGTCAGCTTCCTTAAAATGCTAGGCTGACAAGAAGGTTTCTAGTGGCTTCTACAAGAGCTGATGGACCTACAATGAGGTGTCGTGTAGAGTAGAAAGTGTCCTACACCAGAAAAACTGGGGTTTGCTCCTGATTCTGCCATTTCTGAGCAATGTGAGCTTGGCCAAATCCCTTAAGCAGTCTGAGACTCAATTTCCTCATCTGTAAAATAGGGCTGATAATGATCTTTCATACAGTAATCTCCAGGTTAGATTTCACTCTGCATACAATACAGGTCAATATAAATGTAAAGTGACGTTTAAGTATTCAAGCTATCCCAATTAGGAAGGCTAGGTTAGGCCTTATAGGCAGTTTGGGTTAGGTAATAAGGTCATGATTCCATATATTTTCAGTGACTTTAAAATGAAATTGTGGTTATTTTGTAGCAGTCTCTGTATGTGCATGTGTATAAATACATGTATGTGTGCACACATATTTTTACACTTTTTTCTTTATTGCTTCTTTGGATATTTTACAGGATACATATATTACTTTATTAATCAGAGACCAATAAATATTTTCTTTTCAAGGAAAATTGGGAAAGTATACTAAGTTATACTTTTGCAGAAATTTGCTACCACCTTATTTAGAATTTATTTTCTTGTTATAATGACACAGGATTCTTTTGGTGCCGCTTCAGCAGGTGGAAACCTCTGTGGCTGGTGGTGCCTCTGCCTGAACTTTACTTTGGCCTCACTTTTTTTTTTTTTTTTACTTTTTGCCTCACTTTACTTTGGACTCACTCTACCCAGGCTGGCTCTCAGATTGCGCTTGGCTCACTCCCAGCCCATATCCTGCAGCCACTGCAGCTTCATACTCTGCCTGTGGTGGTGCCAGGTGTGCTGCAAGCAGCTTCCATGGCTGGGTGCTAGTATTCAAATGAGGGGGATGCAGTGTCGCCAGAAAACTTGGAGACACCAGCAACCACAGAGCCCCAATGGGGTGTCACAACTTCTGCTTGGGTAGTGCTGAGGTCTGGGCTCCCAGAAGGGTCACAGCTCTTCAGTCCTATAGTCTGGTGAATGGGAGTGTGTCACAACTCTTTTCAGTCCTGCCACCCACAGCTCGGTGAGCCAGCCAGGAGGATGTTACAGCCCTTTTTGCTCCTGCCATTTGGCAGGTAGGTTCTTGTCCCACAACCAAGAAGAATGAGGTACATGGACACCAGAGAGTAAGGAAGGCAGAGAAGAATTTTATCAAGTGACAGAAAAGACCTTAACAAAAGGGGACCTGAAGTGGGTGGCCTTCTGTGTGAGAGGGGGCCTGGAAGTGGGTAGCTGCCTGTGTGACTGAGTCTGGGGTTTTTATGGCCTCAGAATGGGGGAGTGCTGAGACCCCATTCAGCACAATGGGGGAGTGCTGAATGGTCCATGAGTGGATCTGATAAAAGCACCATTTGATTGGATTAAAGGCATCAAGGAAGTTCACACTCCAGTCATAGACTCTACCCAAAACTGCAGCTCAGTTTTCAGCCTTTAACTTGTCTGTGGTTTGAAGATTGGGTTTCACCAGGGACCTGTCCCTGTCCGCCTAGGTATTTGTCTGTCTACTGCCACTATCAATAATGCTGGTTTTAATGTTTATCATTTTGAATTACTTTAGACTAAAAAGGTAAAGATGAATCCCAACACCAAATAGAAAACTTTAAAAAAAAAAATTCAATCAAAATAAACCTAGACCTAAGAGCATAATAATTATGAGGGAAGAGAAGATAAAATAAATGGGAGCAAAAAGGTAGGGTATTTCTTTTTTGCAGCCAGAGTAATTATTCATTTCTTGAAAAAAATCTTTTTATAAAAAGTCTCTGAGCTGAAATCTGTGTTGGATTATGCTCTGTTGTGTTTCTGTTAGGGATTGTGACATTTTATTCCTACAGCATTACTCTTGTATGCCTTCATAAGAGCTGTTTTATGTATAGATGGCATATTCCCTAGACTGCATACTTCTGTAGGTCCAGGGCTATGCTTTATGTTGATTCAGGGGTTAGCACATGGTATTTGTGTTGTAGATGCTTGCTGGGTTTCTTACACTGAATTACTCTAAATATAAGAGTACCTGAGTGATAGCTAGACCAGATGGTATAGAGCAGAAGAATGACTATCAGTGGGCACTGATATTGATTATAGGATTAAACTGTGGATTCTGCTGTCTTTAGATTAAATGCATGCATTTTACAGAGTTGACATGTAGAATATTAGTTATGTAAGACAGTGCATTCACTGTAGAAACTGGAAGTGCAATACATGGGAAATATGATACAGCAGAGAGAAGGAACCTGAGCTGTGGAGTCAGACAGACTTGGGTTTGAACTTATAACTTAGTGATCTTGGTAAGGTTATCATTTCTCTCTTGTAAAATAACTCCAGCTACTGTATGAGGTTTTAATAATTACTGAGGTTGTGACATTTCAATGTTAGACACTTAGCACAGTGGGGGATAGTTGAGGTCTCTCTAAAACACTAGTCTTGCATTATTAAGTATTATCCTGCATTTTTTCACTGGCAAGCTCAAACATCTAAAAGTATAGACAAATGACTCGTTTTCAGTTTTAAAAGCTAACCATTTTTATTAAAAATACAGATTAATTGCCTTTTTGTAGTATAATGCCAGGGAGAGCAACTGGTTTATTAACTGACTACCAATCATTCTAAAATGATCTAACACCAAAATCTGCTTCTATTTTAAGCAGCTCCAAAACATAAAACAAAGATGAGCATGCCTCCTGTTGCTTTTCTGATTTGTAACAGTAGACACTTGCTCACCAGCTGTATTTGATTTATGCTGCCTCACATCTTTAAATTGGCTGGAAAGTCATTTTGTACCATGTAATACATAGTACTTTCAACTTTAGATACTCATGAAGAGTCTTGACTTAATACTGGAACTTTATTTACTATCATTTAAAGGTCATTGGTCATCTTACATTATAAAAATAAAAAAGATTGACTCAGTTTTTTAAGCATGTAAATACATGCTTGTTTGATGGCTCTCAAATTGTTTATTATATGCTGCCACTCCTGTTAGACATTGTGCCTTCATATTGCTCTGGCCTGCCCATGTATTTACTACAGATTGTAGAGGGTAAATTCAAGTTTAGGCCCAAATGCTATTTGACAGAGGCCAAATGATGAAAAATCTGAGAAGGACATTTTAGGAGGAAAAGGCTGTAGCCTATTTGTATGTTTGGAGGGAGGGATTAATAATGAAAGAGAAGTTGAAGATGTAAAAGAGAAAGGAAAAACGAAAGAAAGAAACTTAAAACAAATTTGGAAAGGATATATAGTTTGCTTATATAGTCTTGGACCCTTCTTTATTGTATATTATATTAAAACCTTTAAAATATTAAGGCATGTTTTTGGGTTATTCTTGTGACTAGATTTGTACTTTATAAAGATGTATGGAGGGTACATCATGGAGAGAACAAATTTGAATTAAGGAGATGAGTTAAGAAACTGTTTAAGAATCCCTCCTCCCACTCCATGGGAAATAGACTTGCATATTATATAGTGGGAATGAAGAGGAAAGACCAAAATCATGAGTTATTTAGGAGGTAGAATCCTTATGATTTGGGAACTGATATTGTGGTATGAAGGTGAGAGTGTGATATGGAATGATTATTGGCTTTCTGACTTGGTGACTAAAAAGATTGTGGAGTTGTTAAACCAAGAGGAAGGAAATGATTCATGGAGAAGATAACAATCTATATTTTTGGCACATTGATTTGATTTTATCTGTGGGACATTAAACTGGAGATTTCTGAGTGGCATGAGTACTTATATCTAACACTCAGGCAAGAGATCTAAGCTTGCAGGGTAGTTGAAATTACTGTTTAAATCACTAGGAAGAATAGTTTTAATGAGAAGAGAGTAGTACTGAGAATAGAATGTTGAGGAGTATAGACATTGAAGGGGGTCGGTGAAGAAAAAAGAGTATTAGAAGAAAGACTAAGAAAAGCAGTTAAAGAGATAGAAACAAAACTGAGAGAGTAGCATTAAACCAGAGGGAAGTAAGCATTTCAAGAAGTAAGTTGTTAATGTCAGAAATCACAGAGAGATTAAGTTCCATACTTAATCTCAGCAACAGTATAGTTTACACTGAACTATAGTATAATATTGAAAACGTACATTTTATGGGTGGATAAAGGCTGGTTCATAATATTCTCTTTCATTATGAGGATAGAAGTTTGGGAGCTACAACTTAATGGTATTCTAATTTTAAAGATAGTGCCTTAAGGCTATCTAGTCAGGCATTAGTTGATATCACAAAAATAGAAACTCCATATTAATATAAAAATAGGAAGCCATACAGAGGCTTATGTAGACATATTTGTATTTAAATATGTTTATACTTCTTTAAAATTAATTGTATTTGTCTTTTTATTTTGAAGAGTTCGTGTCTCTTGGCAGTATCAATTGGCTGGGAAGGAGGTGTTTATGTACAAACCTGTGGTCACACATTACATATAGATTGTCATAAATCTTACATGGAATCATTACGGGTAAGTTGATTGCAAAATTTTTTTTAAAGGTGTATGTATCTTTCCAGGTGTTAAATATTTTTTATAGTATGTACATCTCAATTCCAGCTCATCTTTTTAGGTGATTTGATCACCATATAAAACTATCCAGTCTCACAGTTCTTCTTTAACACAGGCCTGTCCAACTTTAAGGATTTTCATTTTTTAATTTCATTTTAGCAACTGGCCAGACGCAGTGGCTCATGCCTGTAATCCCAGCACTTTGGGAGGCCGAGATGGGCAGATCACTTGAGGTCAGGAGTTTGAGATCAGCCTGGCCAATGTGACCCCCTGGCCAACCTGTCAAAATCCCGTCTCTACTAAAAGTACATTAAGTAGGCAAACGTAGTGGCGTGCACCTGTAATCCCAACTACTTGAGAGGCTGAACAGGAGAATCACTTGAATCCGTGAGGCAGAAGTTGCAGGGAACTGAGATTGCACCATTACACTCCAGCCTGGGCAACAGAGCAAGACTGTCTCAAAAAAAAAAAAAAAGAAAAAATTTTTTTTCACTTTAGCAACTGACTTCTATAGCTGCAATTTAGACTTTGCTACTCTCTCTGAAATATTAAGCTTTAATATCCTACCTTATCATCTTATTATATGATTATCACATAAGTTCTCTTATCTTCACTCTCATTATTGTGATTTGCCTCTGACATCAAGATCTATAGCCCCTTAATCATTTGAATTTTTTCCTAGTGTATTAGCTTTTTGCTAGCCTCACTTTCTTGTTCTATACCCATTCTGTTCTTGTCAATGTCATTTAAGTGACCTCCTTTGATTTTAGACCCAGGCAGCTATCCCTGCTAGAAAAGTCATAAAATGGCAGGGCGCATGTCGCACACCTGTAATCCCAGCACTTTGGGAGGCTGAGGTGGGTGGATCACAAGGTCAAGAGATCAAAACCATCCTGGCCAACATGGTGAAACCCTGTCTCTACTAAAAATACAAAAATTAGCTGGGTGTGGTGGCACGTGCCTGTAATCCCAGCTACTTGGGAGGCCAAGGCAGGAGAATCACTTGAACCTGGGAAGTGAAGATTGCAGTGAGCTGAGATTGCACTGCTGCACTCAAGCCTGTGACAGAGTGAGACTCCATCTAAAAAAAAAAAAAGAAAGAAAGAAAAGTTGTAAAACTAGGTGAACAGCTATTATCACAAACTTGTGGCTTCCTGTAACAATGGCTTAGACTAGGGTTGTTGGCTGGGCTATAAATAGTACCTATTAATTCATTTACCTGTTTTTGATCAGTTCCCTCTTCTGTTTTCCTCAGGAGCTGTTTCAGATTTTTGCCTCCCCTATCCCGGACTCTTCCTGTAAACGCCAAGATTCATTTCCTTTTAACAAAATCTGTCTCTTCCTTTGTCGTTAAGAAAACAGTGTTTGTTGTCATATTCCCTTAGATTCCTGTCTTGCTTTTCTATTCCCTGATAAATGATTCCAACATCCCCACCAATCTTTTCTTTGCTACTCTTTGAGGTAGTACTGCAGTCCTTATTCTGTACAGAAATAACTTTTCTGCCTGTTCTCTGGTAGTCCTCTCTCCCCAGCACCTCAGGGGCCTTGATTCAACAGTAGGTAACCTCTTTTCCTTCTGTATTTTCCGTTTTTCTGCCTCTTCTGTCCCTTCTCAGCTCATCAGGAGCTGAGTTCAAACCTCTCCCATTCAGAATCCTTCCCTGGACCTTACATTTTCTTATTTTCCTATAGCTGAAGACTTCTCTTTCTCCTTCAGACCAACCTTTTTTTTTTTTTTTTGAGATAGGGTCTCACTCTGTTGCCCAGGATAGATTGCCATGGCCCAATCATAGCTCACTGAAGCCTCATACTCCTGAGTTCAAGCAGCGTAATTTCTTAAAAGCAGCTTCTTAAGTACAGGTCTACTGTATTCCCATGTTCCTAACTCAGAAGCAGTAGATATCTGTTTTTTCCTTCCTATTCCTCACCTCTCACTTTCAGTCCCTTACCAAAATTCTATTGATTTTTGCCTTCTAAATCTCACTTGGCTGTATTATACCTTTATTAATCCCACTGCTACTTTTTTGGGTATGCCTTCCTCGCTCATCTTGATTATAGGAATTTATTTCTTGTTGATTTCCTTATTCCAGGTATAATTTATTTACTACATTAATCTTTCTAAAATTTAAATCAACAATATGTGTTGTTGGCTTAAAATCTCTTGCTGTCTTCCTCCTGATAGGATAAAGTTCACTATTCTCTGAATGGCCTGCAGGTACTCCAGGATCTGGGCTTGTCTGTGACTTTAGTGTTATCTTCCATCAATTCAACATCAGTAGGCTAATTAATAGTTCCTTAAGTACATTATGCATTTTTTCATATCCCTGTATTCAACTATTCATTCAACAAATATTTATTCAGTCTATACAGTGTTCCAGACACTATGATAGTCATTGTGGATACAGTGGTACATAGGGCACAGTTCCTTCCCTCAATGAGTTTACTATGTATTACATAAGAGAGACAAATAAACAGTTACAGTATGCATGCTACATGTTAGGTATACGCAGAGTCTTACTGGAATATCTTACAGAACATTTTGATGAAGTAAGGTACTTAAGTGATGAGAGATGAGACAGAATAAGTAATTAAGGTTTACATTGTAAGGGGCCTTCTGGTCCATTTAAAGGATTTGGACTTTATATAGATTTCTTAGAGAAAGCCATTAAAGACTCTTAAGCAGAGATATAACATGTCCAGAAAAATCACTGTGACAATTGTGTAGAAAGGGAATTGCAGAGAAGTAAGAAAGAATGTTGTGGGAGCTTAGAGTTAGTCATATCTATGAAGATGGAGAGGAGAGTATAGATTTGAAATATATTTAGAAGGCCAGTCTTCTGGAGCATGAGAGGGAAGAAGGAATCAAGGTGAGAGGTGATGATGACATTGAAAGATTTTGATTAGAAATAAAATCTCACATTAGACATTAGAAACGTTAGGTCATGTAGTGGTATGTTTGGGGGACTACTTAGAAGAGAGATTAGTAAAGGGGATAGAAAGGAGAAAGTAGATGGGAGGACTGGTGGGATTAATTATGTATTTGTGATGGGAGAAGGGAGGATGCTGAAGGAGTTGCAGTGAGTCTCGTCTCTGAGATAGGAGGTATAACCTTACACTCTTAGAGTAAAAGGGGTGAGGGTGGGGAAGATGAAGGACTTGACAAGTAAGGAGGTGGTTTAAAAAACCACTTTGGGGGCTAGGCGCGGTGGTTCACGCCTCTAATCCAAGCACTTTGGGAGGCCGAGGTGGGCAGATCACCTGAGGTCAGGAGTTTGAGACCAGCCTGGCCAACATGTCAAAACTCTGTCTCTACTAAAAATACAAAAATTAGCCAGGTGTGGTGGTGGGTGCCTGTAATCCCAGCTACTCAGGAGGCTGAGGCAGGAGAATCGCTTGAACCTGGGAGGCAGAGGTTGCAGTGAGCTGAGATTGTGCCATTGCACTTCAGCCTGGGCAGGAGCGAAACTCCGTCTCAAAAAACAAGAAAAAAAGAAAAACCACTTTGGGATTGGGTGAGAGAGTGCTTCCTAGGATGTTGGAGAAAGAGTGTTAGGTAGTATTCAGGACAAAGTTGAGGTTGGAAACAGTTTGTATCGAGAAGGCATTTCATTTTCTCTGACAACACTCAGTTTGAGTGCAGAATTGGAGAAGGCATACACTGGATTAATTTAGCATGAAGGCTTCCTTTGGTGTGAATGATGAAAAGACACATGGAGGGGGAGTGGGAAGTATTACCGTGAGTTCTTGAGGTGGTAGTCAATGGTGTGCAGATAGGATAGGAAAAACCTGATGAACTGGGAGAAAAAGAAGGGAGTAAAGGGGGTAGAAGTTGGTAGTCAGAATATAAGATGTTTGAATTTGACGTTTTCAGATCTACAGTAATTTTGAGTTATTACAGGACAAGGATGTTGTTGGTAACAGGTGCTGAAGTAGAGTGGAAGTCAAAACTATTGGAGCTGATGAGGTTAAGGAGCTGAAGGACTAAGGTATAGGTTTGGTTGTCTACATACATGTTGAAACTGCACAGGAAGATGCAGGACTTGGAGTGATGAGGAAAACGTATCAAGGTACCAAAGTCTTCAGTGGTTGCAGGCAGTAGGTGGCAGTGAAAAGGAGGAAAAGGATAGTATTGCTAAATGACATAAGCCACAAAGACAAGAGACTACTGGAGTGATCTCGGGCCAGCACCAGAGGGTGTTGAGATGTGAGAGATGTAGCGGGGTGAGTTGAGAGGGTTTCTGGGGGTGCTTCAGTAGAGAACCTATCTTCATTTACAGCAAAAAAGAGTATCTAACATTCTTTGGAATTGAGACTGTAAAGAAGCTTATCACAAAATGCTCTTCTGTGGCCAGGACCCCTGCCCCAACCTTTTAGCACACTCTTTTTTTGCCAGTTTTTAAAACTTAGCTCACAAGTCGTCTTCTCTGCGAAGGCCTCTCTGTTGTTGCATTTATCACACTATAACTTATCTGCCTGATTTTGGTTTTAAATTATGAGTACATTAAGAAGAAAAAAATGTGTCTTAACTCTTTATGCTATCACCATGCACAGCATTTATTACATAGTAGGGGCTTAGTAAGTGTTTGTAGAATTGGATTCAGGAAGATACCTTGTTACATTTTTAAGGACTTAAGAAGTTAATGTCAAAAAGTGAAAAAAGAATTCATAGTTCTCTTATTTAGTCAAAGTGCATGAGATGCGAGACACAGTTAAGTGAGCACTAACTCAGTTGTCTAGTCAGTTGTATCCAGCAGTTAGACACCTTAGAAGGCACTTTTTAAAAGGCTTATTTACTCTCAAAAGCTGTTTGTCCCAGATCAAATAACATGAGCTTTGGGATAATCTTCCCAGTAGTCAGTTACAGATTATGAAAACGGGTGTGGAGCAAGAGGAGGGTGACCCACTTTAATGTGGCCTGTTTTTTGAATTATTCTTTATCTTAAATCCACATTTCAGATTGATTGTATCATCACTTGAATGTTTCATACTAAGACGAGTAAGGTACTTAAACAGTGTATTGGTGAGGGCAAGTGTTATGTAATTGCTATGATGTAAGAAGTGATTTGGTGAACTTTAACAGTTAAATAAGGGATTTTGTTTATTTATTTATGACATATATTAGAGATGTCTTTTTTTGTATGGCTCATTAATTTACTATTAAATGGGTGGTATAATTTGTGTTTCCTGTGATTGTGTGTATCATACATCTGTATGTTTATTTCATCTTTTAGAATGACCAGGTTCTTCAGGGCTTCTCAGTGGACAAAGGAGAATTCACGTGTCCCCTCTGTAGGCAGTTTGCTAACAGTGTTCTTCCTTGTTATCCTGGAAGCAATGTGGAAAATAACCTTTGGCAACGCCCTAGCAACAAAAGCATACAAGATCTCATAAAGGAAGTGGAGGAGCTGCAGGGACGACCGGGAGCTTTCCCAGTAAGCATCAGTGTAAGGCATAAATATCTTGGTTAACTCAGCTCTGATTTTCAGCTTTCATTTTCATTCAATTTATAAATTACTTTGGACTTTTACATATTTAGTAGAAATTGCTTTTAGAGGTTTTTTTCCTCTTCTATTTATGCTTAAATAAAAGTAATAGAACAAGTTATTGTCAAAGACCATACCTCTCTTTAGTCTAAATTCTTAGTTTTAATATATATCTTCTATGTCAAGAACCTCTATAGGCTTAGATGTAGTTAGGCTCTTTTAAGATCTTGAAGTAGGTCAGGCGTGGTGACTCACGTCTGTGATCCCAGGACTTTGGGAGGCTGAGGTGCACAGATAACTTAAGGTCAGGAGTTTGAGATCAGCCTGTCCAATGTGGCAAAACCCAATTTCTACTAAAAACACAAAAATTAGCCAGGCGTGGTGGCGTGCACTTGTAATCCTAGCAACCCAGGAGGCTGAAGCAGGAGAATTCCTTGAACCCGAGAGGCAGAGGTTGCAGTGAGCCAAGATCATGCTGCTGCACTTTAGCCTGGGCAACAGAGCAAGGCACCGTTTCAAAGAAAAAAGAAGGATTTAAAAGCAAACACTCAAGCTATATATATATATATATATATATAGAAAGAGAGAGAGACAGAGAGAGAGAGAGAGAGAACGTGTGTGTGTGTATAAAGCACAATTTAATCACAGAAACATATGCCTATTAGGTATATTAGGATTAAGAAATATTTATACAGACATGCACATGTATTTAATGTGCATGTGTATTAGAGAGATAAAATATTGTGTGATTGAACTGTTCACCATAAACCAGACTACTGCGGGGAGTGGAGTGGAACTCATCTTTTATCCCATCTAGTAGGATTTATTTGGTTTAAATTCTTAAATTATTTCACCTTCATTATAGATTTATGATGTGATCTCTGAGCGAAGTGACAACTGTGTCTGGTTTATGTTGTAAATTTGTGAAAACTGTGAATATTTGACCTCTGAAACGGAAATGCGTACTTTAAACTTAGATAGATTCATCTGGCAATTCCCATTCTCAAGTGAAGACTAATTTTAGAATTTATGGTTTTTTTTCTTTTATAATTCAAATTGTTATGTGTTTAAAATATGCTTAAGCTTAAGGGACATTGATATTATTCTTTGAAAATGAACTTAAGTGAAAGTCAGGTTTTTTTATAGACATGGCAACTTTGTTCTAAAATATTATTTTAATACCACCCTCTCATTGGCTTAGAATAGTTTATATGGTTAATTCATAGCTGGATTACAGTGTTACCAGTCATAATGTAGAATTATAATAAAAGATCACTGTATAAGAGAGTATTTTTGGATTGGTTTTTTCTTTGTACACTAAATATATTTATAATAGATAATGTTCTATCTGTTTTGACTTTTTAATTTCCTAGTATGTTCATATAATAAATGTTCTAGTTTTAGGCCATTATTAAAGAAGATAAATATAAACTTTATATATATGTTTGCTTTTTTTTTTTTATAGTCAGAAACAAACTTAAGTAAAGAAATGGAATCTGTAATGAAAGATATAAAAAATACTACTCAGAAGAAATATAGAGACTATAGCAAGACCCCGGGCTCACCAGACAATGATTTTCTCTTTATGTACTCTGTTGCTAGGTAGGTATATATAGTATATACTTTTTAGTTTACTTATTATTAATAGTTGATTAAGAAATATTTGTTTTATTTATTTAAAGGATACATATTTTTAATATCAGTTGAAATTATGGCTAGTTTTAGTGCTCCCTAGGATAACTATAAATGTGCAGCTTTTATTTCCTGAAGAGGTTTTATTTTAATGAAATATTTGCGTAAATGTTACTAAGCATTATAGTACATGAGGGAAAAGTATGTTACTAACATTTTGGGACAGATGTGTACCTCAAAGCATAATATATGAGACCTGTCAAAAAGTGATAGTACTGAGAACTAAAACATTGTAATATGTTAGACACTTCGATTTATGGAAAAATAAGAATAGTAAGAATTAGAACTTTGTTTTAATAGAAAACAAAAAGATCTAGTGATATCCTAGAAGATAGGAGTTTAGAAAAGTCAGATTAGAGAGAGGAAGCAAAGCATCAGGAGTGTTCTAAACTTCTATGTGTATTGAGTAGGGGGCTCAAGAAAGCTGTTAGAAGTAAATGTTTCTCATCTTTCAGATTAGGAAGGATTAGTCTAATTGTATTCAATACATAAGTAGTAGTTCTAAACAGGAATTTTGGAATACTTGAGTGAAAATGCAGAACTGTAAAAGAAGTAAATAGAGGAGAAACAGACACAGTTAAGAACTTGTAAATTCATTCTGCCAAAACTGACTGTACATCCTTTGATATCTCTGGAAGCATACTTTGTATTTTATCCAAGTAGCATTGTAGTAGATAAGATTTAGAGAGATAATATGACTTGAAGTCATACAGCAAGTTAGTGGCAGAGTAGGATCTCTTGAGTAAAGGTTTTGTGTTTTTTTCAATTGCGTCTTCCTTTTTCCTCTCCTATGTTTAGCTTTTTATAGGTTGTATTATGTATATAGTTAATTAAAGCTATTCTCTGTGGCCTGCTCCTGGAACAGAGGGTAACAAAAGAGTAAATGAACTATGCATAGCCTTTGGAACCCAGGAGAAATGGAACCAGACTTAGAAAAATGGTAGCAAGCAAATTCGAGCCCAAGATAAGGAACATTAGTTGGTCTGAGAATGCAAATACTAGACATGGGTTGATGTAAAAGGATCTAATGAATTGGAAAGTAACTTTGTATTCGGTATATTCCTAGACTCTGTTTATTTAGAATGTTTTCAGGGAAGGCATAACAATTAATTTAGTATTTTGTTTCTGGAGAGTTACCGGTTACTGCATTCTTGCAATAAAAGACACTTTATGTGAAAACTAAGCTGAATATAAGTTAACTTTGCCAGGGCGCCAAGGTTTTACAGAACTCCCTATGATATTATGATTATAACATTGTAGAACATTGGGTCGAATATGGACCAACTCAGTTCTGCTATGTATATTTATACACATACACGCACACAGAACTACACACATTTATGTTGCTTATGTATTTGTGCTTTTAATTTTATTAGAGTTGACCTTTTAAGAAAATCTTTATTGAATGGGAATAATATGTTCTTGGAATTTTCCTGTAGTATGATAAATCAAACTATTTGATTTAATTATAATTTGGTAGGCATTTTAGATCCTTATTTCTTGATTTAAGTTTATAAGTAACTTGTAGAAAAAAGCTTGCAAACATAATGGGAGACCTTCTGGATCAAGACATTTTGGCTTCTCTTTTTTTTTTTTTGAGAAGCAGGGACAGACGTCAAATGCTTTACTAAGATCTACGTAGGCAGAGAAACAGAGAAAATATGCCTCCCCGATTCTTTTCTGAAACTTAATGATAAACTCTAATGCATCAAAACAATAATTCTGAAAATGAGTGTATGTAACACATTAAAACTTTATTATCCTTTGCTTGGAATTCCCCAAAATATTGCAAAGGTCTTCCAGTGAGATGGCATTCCTTCTCTAAGTTTTACTTCCATGTCCAGCCTTTGTTTTCTTTAAAATGATGAAGTAAAACTTAGAGAAGGAATGAACTTCACTGGAAGAGGTTTGCAATATTTTGGGGAATTCCAAGCAAAGGATAATAAAGTTTTATCCAAGCAATACAAGGCAGGAGGATTGCTTGAGCCCAGGAGTTTGAGACCAGACTGGACAACAGAGTAACACCCTATCGCTATGATAAATTAAAAAAAATTAGCTAGGTTTGTTGGCATACATCTGTAGTCCCAGCAACTTAGGAGGCTGAGATGGGAGGATTACTTGAGCCACAAGCGATGGTAGGATGAAGCTATAGTGAGCTGTGATTGAGCCACTGTACTTCAACTTGGGCAACAGAGCAAGACCCTGTCTCAAAAAATAAAAAATAAGAAAAATAAATTGATGCAGAAATTAACAACACGTATTGAAAGAAAAAAGTATGTTGTATTCTATTTAAATAGGTTGTAATTTTCTCAAAATAGGAAGCCAGGTCTTTAATTTTATGCCTAACATAAAACTTATTTCACAAATACTTAGGATTATAGGAACATTTATTCCTAAAAGGTAAAAGGTGAACATTAAAATATTAACAATATTTAAATATTTAAGTAAAATATTTAGCAATAAACTTACTTTGAATTAAGTTGTGAATTAAATGTAGTGAATTTTAAATGTATAATTCATTAGAACTTGCATATTTATTTGTACTTAGTAACTTACGTGGAATACAAGCCTGATTTCTTAGAGCTGAATTTCTCCCTGCTGAAGAAGTAATTTTGTTTGCTCTTCAGGGAGTTTAAATTTTGGATATTTAGAAACAAAGTATTTCTGGTGAGTTTTAAAGCTTTTTGTTTTTTTTGGGTAAGACAGTACATATTTTTTGGTTTTTAATTTTATTTGCATGGTGAAGCCTTGGAGAATTTTCTGAGGGTATCAGAGAAGAAACTGTTGGAAAATCCATTCAAAATTAAAATAATTTAAAAATTAATCAAAATCACTACATTCAAGTTTTAATGTGTTTCCAAAATTTTCATTCTGTTGCAAATATCAGTCATCTAAACAGATAATGGAAAGCTAATTTTGGGTAAGAAAATTTTCCTTTGTTTTCAATACCAATTCATTATTTTGTTCTTGAAACAATGAATGACATCAATTTCAGTAATTGATTTTTCCAAGGATTTTTGGACTCAAGTTTCATATAGTCTAGAGGTATTGGTGAGTAGCAGGTGGTTTGTATAGAGAAAAATGGAAAGAAAATGAAACATAAGTAACTGCAGTGTAGGTGGAGAGACATCTTTAAATTGTGGGTACTAAATATAGTGAATGTACCTTCGTATATTAGTTGCATTATAAGTCCCTAAACTTTGTAAACAAATTATGTTCAAATTAAAAGTGATGCTTGCCAAATACCAAATTAAGAATCCTTTTAAAAAATAAAAAAATATTTCCTAAAACAATCCTTTTTTGGGTCTTTGGGTCACTACTGGATTTAAGGGAATGGAAGAGTTGGGAAAAGAAAGAAAACTGCAAGGGCTAAAGAGAATCTTATAATTGGTTACATATCAAAAGAAAGAGGTTATCAGTTCCCATTTATTTTTTTAAGCATCTTACTAGGTATCATTGGGGATTTAGAAGCTGTATATGAAATAGTCCCTGCTCTCCAGGAATTTACAGATGGAACTAGTATAACATCAATCTATATAACAGAATATAATTTGTTTTTAAAAATGTCATAAAAAGTACTATAGAGCTTCTAAAGGGAAGATGAACAAATTGAAATACAAAGTATGTGTAAGCCCTTCTTTCCTGTCCCAGGAAAGCCTCCTGGAGAAGTTAAAACTTGAATTGCCTCTTGTATAATGTAGACTGTGGTATGGATGAAGATACTGGTTTTTTTTTTTTTTTTTTTTTTTCCCCTGAGAAATTGAGTAACTTTCTCAACTACTAAGTGATACACTCAGGCCTTGAACCTGGATCTCTTTCCAGAAGCTTTACCCTTTTCACCAAACCAACATGTGTTTGAGAATGTGGGGTGTGTATGTGGGTACACACGTTTGCTTTTCAAATTATGCTCTAAAATAGAAGTTAGTGTGGAAGGGCGGTTGAGAGGACAGCAGACTTTGGTCATGCAAAAAGTAGCTGGAGCATCATTAGAGGGTTTTTAAATATGCCTGTCTAGGTGGCCACTATGGTAGGGTTTAAGCAGTTTTGTCATTCTTTCAAATATAGAGATTTTCTCCTTTTTCTTACAAACTAATTTGAATGTGTTTGTGTTAGAAAATATAGAAAAGAGTCTGCTTTTCTTTGACAGCAGAAAGCTTAGAAAAATTCCACTGCCAGCATGTCTTTATTTTTGCATCATTCATTGAGGAGGGAAGAAACATAATATTGCTTTGTGATTTTCAACAGTTGAGGGAATATGGACATGGGACATATGACCCATTTGTTCTTTGGTATGTCTCAGAGGAGCAATTTTGACATAAATAGAAGTCAATATTTAGAGCCATATTGATTTTTAAAATCCTAGATATTGCTGAGTACAGTGGTGTGCACCTAGTACTAGCTACCTGGGAAGCTCAGGCAGGGGGATTGCTTGAGCTCAGGAGTTCAGATACACCCTGGGCAACAGAGCAAGACCTCATCTCTTAAATTTTTTTTTTAAGAAATTTAAAATTGTGGATATTATTATACATTAATTCTTTGAATAGGTAGTTTTTGATTTTTAATTCAGAAGGAATATTGCATAGAAGATCTTCCAGTCATAATTTGGAATAATTAATTAGATTTTACTAGTTTTTTTCAAATATTCTTTAAAATGAAATTCCTAGAAACGTTTGTCATTCTTTGTATTTGGGGATTGAGTAAACAGAATTGTTCTTATATCTATATTTTAATGAATATTTTTGCAAATTTGGTGAAATGTTGACATTCTGGTTTTTGACATTCATTTGTAAGTATTGTTTGTTTTTCTGGTTAGCTCTCTTAAAAGTATATCTAGGAAATCTTAGTTTTTATAAGAGAATATAGCCATTAATTTTTTTCTACAGATTAGGCAACAGAAGATTTGTGAAAACAAAATGTATTGATCTCATTTATATTCCCTTGATGAAGGAACACATGCTGGTCTCCGCTCGCTTTCTGTCCACTAGTATGAAATCCTTGTCCCTGCTTCCTTGCTGGTAGGTTTTTAGAAGTTCAGTGAGCAATGCAAATCGCCTGAAGGGTGGAAAATTCCCTTGTCACACAGATGCCCTTATCAGCAGCAACCAGATGGAGCTCTGAGCTGGAACATTATCAGTGTTAAATTGCTTTTTCTCCCACCCTGAGTAGAGAGGATTAAAGCATTCCTTTAGAAATGGGTGGCAAATATACAGACTTCGGAATATTAATATTTTTAACAATTTGCATTTATAAGTAAATACATTATAAGATGAAAATAGCATCTCAAAACATTCTATGTGCAAAATACAACTAAACCAGTGCAAAAAGTTGTGTTTTAAGTAAAATAGGATAATAGTCTGCCATGCATTCACTTGCAAAGAGTAAGCTTGAAACTGCTTTTTTTCTTTTTTTGAGTGGGACAGTATGTCACTATTAGGATCAAATGCATATCTTGGATATAAACTAGTCTATTCAGTTCTTGTTGTAGAACATAAAGGTACGTCTAAAGGTATTAATACTATTGAAGAAAAATACAATTTAAATTCTTTCTCAGAATTTTCATTTATTATTTTGGCATAACTAATTGGTTCTTTTACTGTTACTGTTTTTGAGTAAATCTTTAGATTCTGCATTAGTTTGATTTTTGAAATGTCAATTTATTAATTATTGCTATTTTGTAAGCCAATAATTTTAAAATACCTTGCAATTTAAGGTCTGTATGAACAGTATTGATGTTTAGCCGTGTCAGTAGTTACACAGTGCATTTTAATGAAGCTAGTTTCAGAAGTCCACAAGAGAGACTGCTGTTAAATTATATGTGTTGTTTGTAGCCATTTCTATATTGGTGATTTTGTTTCTTAATGTTGATTTCCAGATACCATCTAACCTCCAGTGAATTATAACCATTTCTCTGGTAGAAAAATTGGTATGCCCTTGAGTTTTATGTGGCAGTAACCACCTACATAGTGGCTGACATTGGATTAAAATTCTTTCTTCATATTCATATGCAGGTTTATGAAATATGTTGCAGTTTTTTTTTTCTTAAGGCCTAGTTTTTATTATGTGCCAACAGTTAGGACTTTGCAACAATTACACCATGCTGTGTGCAGTATTTTGCAGGTGTAAATACGAACATATAAGTAAGGATGCATAAATTGTTCCCTTTTTATTTCTAAATAGCAGATAAAATACGATTATTACAGATGCAACATAAAAACTGCTTTTGCAAATAATAAAGTTGAAGAACTTTATTATTTAGGTTGATTCAGACATACCGATAAAGCAAATTAAAAAGAATCTTCAGTTTAATGACTGAGATATATTCTAATGCTTTACTTACAGAACCAATTTGGAGCTTGAATTGATTCATCGAGGAGGCAATTTGTGTTCAGGTGGTGCAAGCACAGCTGGCAAAAGGTCTTGTTTAAGTAAGTACTAAATAGTGTTAAATTTAAAAAATAATTTTTTCATTTTTGGAAGTATTGGCAGGTAAAGTGACCTTTTGGTGTAGTTTCAAATTCTGTCTGTGTTATATATGATCTATTTATATAATGATATATACTTTAAGTGGTCAATCTTGTACTTAGAAGAATCATATGAATTTTTAGCTCTTTCTAGATTATGATTACCTAGCAGATAAACGTGATGCTAAGTGACGTGGTTTATACTATTTCAAAATTAAAGTACTGTATTATTTTCAGCTATAAAAAATTATTCTTAAACTTCAATTTTCTTAAAGAATTTTTACACTGAATTAAGAAAATATTTTTATAAAGACAATATATATTGCCCACAGATTTCTGTATTATTGCTATTAATGATATTTGTGCTGTATTTTAATGTGTATATTAAAATGTGTTAAAATTGGAGATGTTTGCTTTTATTTATGTATATACTTTATGTTATAAAATGAGCATAATTCTTTAATCTTATTTGTAAGGATATATTTGAGAGAAGTGTAATTTGTAATTTAAAGTAGGTTTTTCATGAGCATGGTTTTGATGCTATCTTTTTTAGTCATTGTTTAGAGAATTAATGTGACTACTAGGAATAATATTATTTAATGTCACCATATAGCTGAGCATTGGCCTCAGATCATGGCAGTTGAAATATTACCTAATGTGATTAGTATAGGAAATGAAACTTGTTTAAAGCACGTAATATATTCTTTTGAAAAATGAATATATTTTCTTAAATACTAAAAAATAGTAATTATTAAAACATCAATACATGTTGGTTTTTAAACAAAACATATATTATTTCAAAAACTGTTTATGTAATTTTGAATTGATTTCAAAGCAAAGGGATGACCAAAAGCACTTTAAAATTTCTGACATAAAAGCAAACGTATGTGAACTTTTAACTTGGTTATCTATTAAAGTCCTATAAGTTGCACTATAATTTGATATTTTCTTTTGGATTGTCACTTTATTCCTAGAACTTAAGATTTTAGAAGGTTTTATTTATGTTTGTTTGTTTTTACCAAGTATTAGTAAAAATTGATGCCTTTATGCATTCATCTAAACCCTACTTTTACTCAGTGCTTTACTAGCATGTTTCAAAGGAAGTTGTTGATACATAGGAGTTTTAGTTTCTAATCCATTTGAATTTATATATAGTAATCATTTTAGTTATATAAATTATTTCTTCTTGTTAATTTGTTATTAATTGATGTTTGGCATTGGGTGATAATATTCTAGAAACTGTTGTGTTGTAAAGTGTTTACTTTAGTAAAGGGTTTTCTGTTTTTAAAAATCTAGTTAATTTTTTTCCTCTGAGGCATTTAAATTTATCCAGAGTCTTATAAATAATGAATTTATCCAGATTCTTGAAAATAGTAATTTTCTAGTGGTAATCACTTCAATTACCAGAGTGAATTTTGTAGTTTAAAATGTTAAATTTATAGTTACTTCCAGACTTTTGCTTCATTATTCCCTTTAGTAAATAAGAAATTATACTGTGCCAGTATAGAAAAAGTCATGTTTATCCTAAATATAAGTTAATATTTTTCTTAGTTTTTGTATGATTTATTTTTCAATTGCTTGTTATTTATCCTAATATTAATAAAAGCAGCCTGTAAGTCATACATATAGAATATGTTGTATATATATAAAATCCCACTATCTTACGAGTGTATTAACTTAGTATTTGTTATTTATTCAAATAAAATTCAAACTTAAGTTGTACACCAGGACTTAAATTGATGATGATTCATGGAATCTCAGTGCAAATATGTCATCTTCCAGTGCAATGTCAGTGGTATTATTTTTTTTTTAATTTTGATCTTTTTGGGAAAAATCTACATGTATTCATATTTTCCTTTTCCCATTGATTGCTCTTCATTACTTTTTGAACATCTCGTTTTTAATGTTTTTTTTCTTCCATTATATCTTTGAGGAGAGTGAGTGAGGAAATGCTCCACTGATTAAGCAAATGATGAGGGAACTTTTTTCATCCTAAGAATACCACACTTTTGGAATACTGTTCTATTGCAACTTCTTGATGAAACTGAAGATTTGTCTAGTCAGGAAAACTTTTAATAAATTTTGTCTAGAAAGGATTGCATAATGGCTGGTATATAATTACAGACACACACACGCACACACATACGCGCGTACACACACACACACACACGCACGCACACACCCACACACATATTGGGGGAGAAGGGAAGAAGATTGTTCTTTCGCCAGCAATGAAAGCAGAAAATATTAATGGCCAAATCCCTACTGAGAAATAAAATTGAAGTGAAACAATGCTACTCAACAACTACATCTTCAAACATTTTTAAATACTTGAAGGTAGTTACCACTGTCAATCAGAATAAAAGGTCAGTCCTAAAAATATGTGTCTGGGAAATTTTCCATAGTAAAAAATTACCCAAATTAGCTCACATAACAGTATACTGTAGTATTTTAATGGCACCCTAATTTGTCATTTTAAAGTTTGTAAAGTGCTTTCACATAAATTATTTAATCTTTAGAATGACCATGTGAAATAGGTGTTATCTCTTTTTCATAGAAAAGGAATCTGAAGTTCAAAGTGATTGCCTTGCCAAGTCACACAGCTGGAGAATGTCAGAGCTTGCACTTGAGTCCAGCTCTTCTGACTCTAAATTCAGTTATGTAAGACTCATCTCCTGCCCTTAAGTCTCCCAAAGGTTGCAGAACTTTTAAGACCTTTTACCCATTGGTTTAGTCAAAGACACTACTGTACAATGTTGCCTTGGATCTTTGTAGGTCCTACTGTGCTAACTCTCCTGTTTATCTTGTCTGTTTTCTTTTGTTAGCCTTTCACTGTCAATCCTTTGTTTTTGTTTTTGTTTTGAGCCACCTTTTCAGACATTTTTGCAAGTCCTGAGTCCTTCTGCCCTGGATACCAGTTAGTTCTCCTTTATTCCTTGCCAGTTTGCTTGCTGGTTCCCCTTGCTCTTGCTATGAGTCATGTTTGTTAGCTCTCACATATAGCACAGCTGTCGATTTCTGGGTCAGAGCTCTAGAACTCCTCCTTATATACCACGGAAGGTCAGGCATTTCTGACCTTGTATTCAGGAGATGATACTGGTTCTAGAGACTGGTACTCATCTGCTGGACTTGTATTCAGCAGATGAGACTTGTTCAAAATACATGTCCTCCAAAAGCTTTACTCATTCCAGCGGTGAATTTCTTAGAACTTACAGCTTTGGTGGACATGGCATTTGAACAAGACTTTGAAAGGTAAGTGAGGTTTAGAGTTTTTGTTACAAATTGGTATATATACTACGTATCACCAACTTGGTTAGCAACATATGTAGGATAAAGCAGATGTAAAAATTAAAGGCATAACTTATTAAGAAAAGTATTTTATTAAACTTACTGTATTTCTTCATTCAGGTGATTTGAAAATAAATATGACAGTATAAATTCTAGTGAAGTTCATGTGCTTTCAACACATTTTTGGCATGATATTCTCAGTATATTTCTCAAGTAGAAACTGTTGAAACCATCGGCAATGCCATTTGATGAATTATTAATGTTAGAGCATAATAAAAAACATTCTTTTATCTGTATGTAAACATCTTTTCCTATCTTTGGGTCTGTCTGAGAATTTCTCTGCTTATTACTGTCATTTAAGAAACCACAGTTCATATCTCAAATGGATTCCATGATTTTATAGAGAGATGAAAAATGAAACTTTAGTAAAGAGAGGTTAAGACAAACTCTTGCCTTGACATTTTCATTTGGGAAGTTCCGACTTAATTTTGTATAATCTATGATCTTATCAAGAAATTATGCATAGTCATTGCAGTAAATAGTTTCTACCAGAATTTGCTATTCATAGCAAGCAACCCAGCTTAGATCTGTGCAGGCAACTTAAAATAGTTCTACTTGATCAAAGAGTGAATTTTTAGTGAATTTAAAATTACAGAAAATTAGGCCAGGTGTGGTGGCTAGTTCCTGTTATCCTAGGATTTTGGAAAGCCAAGGTGGGGAGGATTGCTTGAGTCCAGAAGTTGTTAACAGCCAGGGCAACGTAGGGAGAATCTCATCTCTAAAAAGAAAAAAAAATTAGGTGGGTGTGGTGGCATGCACCTGTGGTTGCTGCTACTCAGGAGACTGAGGTGGGAGGATTGCTTAAGCCCAGATGGTGAAGGCTGCAGTAAGCCATGATTGTGCCATTGCATTATAGCCTGGGTGACAGAGCAAGATGCTGTCTCAAAAAAGAAAATTATAGAAAATTATTATTATTATTATTATTATTATTTTTTGAGACGGAGTTTCACTCTTGTTACCCAGGCTGGAGTGCAATGGCGCAATCTCGGCTCACCGCAACCTCCGCCTCCTGGGTTCAGGCAATTCTCCTGCCTCAGCCTCCTGAGTAGCTGGGATTACAGGCATGTGCCACCATGCCCAGCTGATTTTTTGTATTTTTAGTAGAGACGGGGTTTCACCATGTTGACCAGGATGGTCTCGATCTCTTGACCTCGTGATCCACCCACCACAGCCTCCCAAAGTACTGGGATTGCAGGCGTGAGCCACCGCGCCCGGCCTAGAAAATTATTTTGACATTAATTCCTCCCTGCAGTTATGTAGCATAAAGATGTTGTTAAACAAGGAATGAGTTTTTACAAAGTTACTCATTTCTTTTTGAGAGACAGGGTCTTTCTCTGTCTATCACTCAGGCTGGAGTGCAGTGGCACAATCATAATTCATAGCAGCCTTGAAGTCCTGGGCTCAAGCATTCCTCCCACCTCAGCCTCCCGAGTAGCTGGGACATCAGACACACACCATCATGCCCAACTAATTTTTTAATATATTTCTTTGTTGAGATGGGGTCTCGCCATGTTGACCAGGCTGGTCTCAAGTTTTTGGCCTCAAGCAGACCTCCTGCCTTGGCCTCCCCAAATGCTGGGATTATAGGCATGAACCACTATGCTGGCCTAAAATTA